GAATGTTTTCCCCCTCCATACACACACGCACGCACGCACGCACGCACGCACGCACGCACGCACGCACGCACGTGCACGGAGGAGTTGCTTGGACCACGTGCAGTGTTTCGTGTGTGTTGGGGCGTTAGGTTTTGGTTCCGAAACCGTCCTCTCTCATGTAGTCATTATTGAGAGTTGATCTTTCTTTTGACGACCGATCATAACAGTTATAGTTCATGATTCCCTACAATGTTTGGAGACTGTTACATAAACAGGCAACACAGCAGACATATTTCTGTTTTAGTTATTCCTGTCTGAAGAAAATGATGGGCATGATGCCAACCCTTTTGATATAGTGTTTAATGTTTTAAAAATGCTAAATTGTAATTTTGATGCCCTTTTGGTTTGGAATTTAATGTCTTAAAAGAAAATATTACAAAATAATTTAATAAATATTTATGCACGCTAAATGTCCATCAGTCCAGCACTTTCAGCGGAGAAGGTAGATTTGAAGCAGTCGTTCGATAATACAATACGGATCGGATTAGGACGAAAGGTTTATATCATGTGGTATTTTGTCTAAATTTCAGATTCTTGTATCAAAAGCTACACATAATGTCTTTGGCATGTCTTTTCGATTCATATGACCAAATGATAGTTTCAGTTTTAATGTATGGTTGTGAAGTTTGATGGTTTAGTTACTTAACTCGTCTCGATCGAGTTCATAAAATATGAATGATGTTATTTGTCAGCGTCCCTGTTATACGCTGTGTGGAGAGACTGGTAGAATGCCGACAGTTAATAGCATTAAGAACCATGTAAGTTGCACTTTGGTACAAAAGCAGGTTCAAATAAGCTCTATGGAAGTATTTATGATAATGTCCAGAAGATGCTGAAGACCACTATTTATCATTCAAAATGGATAATGTTTATCATGTAGTTATTTTATAGATTATACTGTTGAAACTCGACTTAGAGGTAAGCTTATGCAAAGCATTTTCTTTCAAGAATCAAATGTATTCATGTATCAAGTCTGAGTTTGAACAAGAGCCTTATGTCAACATCAGTGGTATTTTTTTCCAAAACCATTTGTAAGGTTTCCAGCATATAATCATTCACTCTCTATCAAAAGAGCGAGAGCGAGATCGATGGATGGCTTCACCTTATTCTGATAGTAGGTGTACATTTTCAATTGGCGAACAGTGTCATTATATATTTTGTAGTCATTTTATACATGACCACCAGTGTTATAGTATAAGAAATACCTAAGTATCATACGTAGCAGCAATTGGACTAGCTGTAATATGAAACCAGGTGTTGTGAGAAACCATAACTAATTATGATGCACTTAACCAATGTTGCCTCTGTAGACATGTCACAAACATGTATTTATTCCATGTACCTCTGGAAATAAAAAATTGTTATATTGATTGTCCCGACCCAGTCGGATTGGATCATCCCGTCATTGGTGGATGCAATATGATAATAGAAGTTTCAGACGTATTGGTTCTAATTAGCTTTCTGAGAACTCAATATGTACATCGCTGCCGACCAAGACATTAACATGGCACGCATTAGAGTTGAACAAAACATCACATGCTCCTTTGTCAAATACACATTGTTGATATGTAAATCAAGTCACATTTCTTTGAAAAGTGAATAAATGGCTCAGAAATGTAGCCCATGCACAGCGTGGTGGTGGTGTACAAGAGGCTCAAGACGTGTGATGAAGCGTTCATGGCAAGCTCTAGACATTGAAAGTAACATAGAATGTCAGCACTATCAACTGGTATGAGAGCATAGTTTAGAATTGCGGTTTCTCAAGATTATAGAGGTCAAGGGTCAGCACAGGGTCGACAATTTATATTTGAAAACGATTGAGATAATAATGTTATCTGCTTATTGGCACATGGAAGATGGAGTATCAATGAAGATAGGATTGACTGAGAGGTTGATGAAATCTGTTTGCTCTTTCTATACGTCCTGACCGAACAGTTACAAAACACTTGTACATTAATTAGATCAAGATGAGTATTCAGATAAGATCAGAACAGGGCCAAGATTATATATTTGCATGACATCTATTTTAATCGTTACATACGATAAGGATCTTAATTGTAGTTTCCTTGGTAATCACTGTGTTTTTATCGATCTGTTCCATTCCACATACCCACCATCATTTTCAATATGGTTGAGTGGAGGGAAGTATGTGAGCGCTGTTTAGTAACACCATTACTCGGCTGATCTTTGCATTGTTGTCGGTACACACATCTCGTTACAACACCTGTTGATTAATCATACTACAAGATGAAGCCCGGAGCTGAAAAATCAAAATATACAAATGACTCAACATATGTGTTCCAGCATACAGCATACACTTACTTACTCAATTTGAAAAGACACGTTAGTACAATGTAATTCAGAGTCACCAGTACAACGATACGTGTTTAATATACATGCAGCGGCGAATATATCTTGTAAAATGATTATGTTTTTGCAAATAGTAGAGCAGTTTCAGCTTTTTAGGTCACAGGAGATGTGTTGAAAGTGTGAACAGGTTTGAGTGGCCGCACACCGTGTACTAATGGGATCACTCGGTTCATATGACCAAAAAACAACCTAAATCTCGCGTTTGCCGCAATCTTTATAAACCTGCGTGTTTAATGTCGTTAAAAGACAACATCCGCAATCGATCCAAGTGTGTTATTGACACCATACAAAGTTAAGAAGATTAAAAAAACTCGTGTATAAAAATAATTTTATAAACCCGTCTGATTACCTTGATAACATGTTTTTAAAGATGCCCTCATTTTCAAATTAGAACTTTGGTGAAACCCACGACGACGGATATGGTGATGACAACTACATGATCGTAATCGAACGAAACTGGGATTCGACCTGAATGTCAAGCGGCATTAAACACGCGGTATAGGGACACAGTTCTGAAACACATCCCCTCGCCGTGATACGGGATCAGGTTTCGTGTAAATCACATATCTCCAAATTGAGTGGGGAATCAGGCGATGATTGGATGGGAGGGGATGTTGGTGCTGCATTTGGATCTGAATGTCTTGGTTGTTAATTTAAATGTGGCTCGTTCGTTTTGCCCAGTAAAGCGTCTGTGAAACCCCTTTATGACACGGTCTGTAGTACAGCATATATACACGCCACCGTCAATGGATTACCTGCAAGTACAGAGGTCCCTGGTTTGACCTTCCTGACAGCACGAAGTAAATTTCAGTTTTCTTGCAGCCTTCAAAACATCGATTTCCCTTACGGACAATTACTGAATCCCACACATGAAGTTACAAATTTTCTCTCCAGTTCTTTGAAAATAATTAGACAAAAAACATGTCATGATTTCATCAAGCCAAAAACATCATTATTTGGATAAATTTGATTTTGTGTAACTGAGACAAAATTACAGTATTTTCCGCCTGTCTTCACTCAGCGTTAAGAAATTGAAGAAAATATTGGATAGGAATCCGATCCGTTAAATCTCTTTTAGTATTGATTTGCAGGACAGATAGATTTATCCCCACGGCTACAATGCGAGGTGTCACTAGGAACCCAGCTCCAATTTGATCTTTGGGCAATTAAGTAACCATCCCTAATTTTCACATCATAATATCCTATTATATTATAGTTCAACAAATCGGCATAGTCGAAGATTCTTCTCGACATACCAGAACGGCAACGTGTATATGGCTTAGGGACAACATCTTCAACATCAAGGCACTGTTATTATGGTCTTGTATAGAGACGTGGATTAAGAAAATATCATCCCGGAGTCCTGGTGCCTAAGGGTGTTTCTGTGCTATGTCAATCGCTAAATTCCATAGCAGACAAGATTAACAAAATCTCTGAAAGACTATGCTCACATTCTTATCACGTCGCAAATAATTTACCGTCGTTTCAGAAATTTGTGAGGTTAAAAAGATTGCAAGTGTAAGTGCACAATCTCTCAGAGAGTGTTGTTATTTTTTTACTGTTAATGTTCAAAGAAAAGATGTAAAAATATAGAGATTCAGAATTGGCATGCTTAATTTATTTCTTCATCTTTTCTAAATCAGTATTCTAATAAGTCTGTAGATGAACCAGAGAAATATATTAGTGAGTTATGTCCAAATAAAGATCTTATCAGCATATTATGTAAATTCCGATGTCTGACCCATAAGTTGGCTTCGTTACAATGACAAAGTCCACACTGAATTTACTAAGTGCAATAAATGTAATCATAATATAACCTTTTCGTTTGTCCGTTTATATTGAAAACAGAAAGCTCCACTTCCCAAGCTACTATTACATGTATCCAGCACGAGCAACTTCAGTCAACTATTCGCAACAAAAGATGTGGCATATATCGCTATATAATCTGCCTGAATAATGTATAATAATCTAATGTATTGTACTTTTGGCCATGTGGCCTTTGATACCTAATGGACTTTGTATTCTTCTTTACTAAATTCTCAGTTTTTTACAATCCTTGATTGTACCATTAATTGTCTCAAGCGTCTATTCACTGCACATTGATTTTTATAAGTTCGTAAATCTGTAACACACTCATGTTTCCGCTGTATGAGTGTTATGTACGTATGAATTTGATTTATGTCACAATTTGAAGGCTATCCAAGACTACCTGGCGGCTTGAGATACACAATTAACTTTTAAGGAACAATTAATAGAACTGTCATTGAAACATTATTAAATGAATTTTCACAAATCTAACTGAAGTATGCAAATGGTGTTCCGGGTTCATTGTAATTTCAGAATCGAAAAATATTGAAGCATTGAAAAGTCACCAGCGGTTTCGGACGACCAGTTGCACGATTAGTTGCAAATAAGCCATAAAATTGTCATTATCGATATCTCGCGGCGCTGCGTAAACAAACCACCCCTGCATGGTAAATTATATGGTACCTCTGTCACGTCACAAACCATTACTGGTGTTTCCCGGCACTCAACCTGCTGCCACTGTACGAATTGGTAGCAATCTGATGCAAAATAATAACCCAAAGGATTGCTAGCTCGAAGAGGCTTGGCGAATTCTCTGCTTACGCATGAAGATGATGCCCATTTATGGAAAGTGCTCGAAGGCCCGTTGAAGTTAAACACCCGTGCACATGGTCGGTTAGTTTAATATACAGCCAATTAGCGTCATCGATTTCAGCCTACCTCCGACGTGAACAGGCTGATTATTCAAAGACTTAAATTGAGAACCACTCTTGCTGCGGCCATTCCAAGCGAACCTTTGCTCCAATCAAGTGTCTCTAACGTCGAGATCTGTACGCGCGCACAGGTGAGAAACTTTTACTGTAACGCGTTGTTGTATTGTTGAATTATGTTGAACTATCTTGATGCGAGGAACAACTCGTCTGTCGTTGTCGTAGTTTAACTCGTTGAACCGTCACATAGTTTGGTTAGACGTGTTTTATTCTTTATATTGCATATTTCATATTGGGTGAACATCCACTGATCGTATTTTGTGACGTTCGATTATTTGGTTTTAGTTAACATTGCCTTTACCACTGTCACTTTTCGTTAGAAACGCTTCCTAACCACATCTGTGTTCCTCCTTCACAATGAAGTGGGTACCGTGTAATATACAGGAGTTGGTTGTTGGTCACTCACTGTTTTTGGTGTGAACAGTGAGTGTTAATGACATCAAACACGTTTATGAGCACCTGTATTACGTTCACTGGCTGATACCGTAGATGCCTTGATTACAAATATGACCAGTTTGGTTGATCACTATCACATATCACTAGTTTACGAATTCCAATAATCAGAATGGTATACTTAGTAATAGGTTACAATGTGTTCCAGTCAGTGAAGTTGAAGTAGCAATTGTTTTGTAACCAGTGGAATGGTCTGTGGGGATACGAATGTTGGGAAGCCTGTTAGCATCCGTCCTCTCTCACAACGTGTATATACGTTATATACTATTTTACTGGCTAAATACATACACAGACGGCGTTGATAAGATCATGTTCCTGCACCATGTTACTACACATGCTTGTTTAGACCAAGTTGGTAATCCTGGGCTTTCTGCCAAGAGCGAGTGTCCAATGCATTCATGTAAATGTACTACGTTCATTAATTATAGTGTAATGGCAGTCTACCTTCCAAGCATTATCTTCGTCGATAGAAGACACCTGAAGTATTCTGTATATGATGAACGAAATTCAAATGTTATTAGAAAACCATGAATTGACCAATATCTACGTTGTCGTTTACGGGGATCTGCGATCCATCAATTACAGATCTATATAGTCGGCCATACTCGTTTCTAATTCGCATGCACTGTTAATTGTGAAAGTATTAAACACATGATAGGTCTGTGTAGCTCCAAACGTGCATAGGATTGCATTTAAATCAGAAACGGAGCAATTTTGGCGTGTTTTACCGTGTCACGTTTTGGAACTTTACACATGAAGGGGCAACAATTTCACTCGTAAGCACACCTTTCCCCCAATATACACGTGTCTGTGGGCCTAAATATGATTATATCATAGACATCTTTCGATATTATTATACGAGCATGTATGTTATACTGATTTTACGAAATGAGTGTCAGAATTCTTGCATTTCCCGAGCGAGAGCGAGGGTAAAACATGAATTCTTACGCGTGTTCGTAAAATCAGTATGACACACATGTGAGTGTAATAATTTCTTTATTTAAGAATATATTTTCACTTTGTGTGAGTTTATTGGAGTATGAACTTTCATAGAGTGAGGATCAAACTGTATGCACGTCGGAGTTTTTATGTCACTATTTTTAAATTACATAGGCCTAGATCTATACACAATTGTATTTACTTCGTGTAACTTCATGTTTATACTGACAGCCACATAACAACCAACTGTGTCGCGGAAGAAAATAGTTTCTCAAAATGAGAGGTGACGTGAGAGTGCGTATGCTCAACTTACGCTACAGGAACATTTGTAGCTTCTTTACAAGAAATGTATTCAAATAGTATTATCATTGGATGAGTGAGTGAGTGAGTGAGTATGGTTTTACGCCGCTTTTAGCAATATTCCAGCAATATCACGGCGGGGGTCACCAGAAATGGGCTTCACACATTGTACCCATGTCGGGAATCGAACCCGGGTCTTCGGCGTGACGAGCGAACGCTTTAACCACTAGGCTACCCGACCGCCCCTATCATTGGATGAGAAAGGTAAGTCAGTCACAATGACAACGCGTCGTAATACATGTACATCAAGTACAAGACGGATTTTGTCGATACTACACTAGTTTGGATGCGCATTACTTCGTTTTGTTCACTAGAGTGGGTCGTATCGAGGATATTCGTCAACGTCCATGCAGTCAAACTCTCTGACGTTTCTCAATGTATTTAAAACTCTGCGTTCAAGATTAAAGAGTATAAATGAGCAGAAACAACGCTTTGTAAGTATTTGTGCTAGGGAATTCCCCGGGTTTCCCCTGGGAACGTGGACGTAGTCCGTCAGTGTTTACGTCATTTCAAGAATACGGCCTCGTGAAAAATGTAAAAACGTCCAAATGAGTCATTCATATACTTATGAACGTCAAATTCGCGGTCATGTGAGTGTCATCTCGTACATAGGAAAAGCCGTATATCATCTAAACTTCACAACAACAAAATATTACCCATTATTTTTTAATCCTTTTGAGCTCCCCTTTAGGAACATGCATTGATCACCACCGCTGTCCTGGAAAACCACAGTTTGTCGTTTGGCGTCAACAATCTTCAGCTACGTGATTTCTAGTGTGACGTCATTCCGACCTTACGTCACAAATAGGATTCGAATGACGTCGACGATGCCGTTCGGGTGACTGAAACAATACACTGGTGCGCGGGAAGTGATATTTGCACTGGTGCAAATATATATTTTTATCAACTCGGTTATTTCTAACCCGATGGGTAATAAATAGAGGATATTATATGAGTGTATATGTCACACTATGTTTACGACACGAGTGTCTAAATGCCGGAATTTATTCACAAGTGTCGTAAACATAGTATGACATTAACAGGAATGTCTATTTATTACCGAAGATGATGTCTACATAAAGAGACTAATTTTAGTGTTTACCTATAAGCACAGCAAGTCGCAACAGCAGTTGAACCACAATTTGTCGAATGACGTCAACAGTCTTCAGCTAATGTGACGTCATTTCGTCCTCACGTCACAATAAGATTCGAATGACGCCAACAATGCCGACGGAATGACGGAAACACTGTTGTCTCGTGACGTGATATGACCCTAGGGTACATACGATTTTTATGAACCCCGATATGTTTGCTCTCGTACGTAATAATAGGACATTTTGCACAGGATATGGGCGATCATGTTAGATTTCTGTATACATTTAAGCAGAGAAAGAAAGACTGTGCTACCCAAAACTGGTCTACCATGTTTTACAACAAATCATTAGAAATGTACAGCACATTTACATCCATTCTAGACTGTGAATATACTTTATTACACGAACACTCGTTTAGCTTATGGAAGAATATTAACCAAATTTAGAACTAAGATATGTAAAGTGCCCGAAGATGAAAGCCGTATTTTGTATAACTGAGCACAAGGGATGTTACTCCCAAAAAGAAAAGTCCAACATGTATCACAGCATTAGACATATTTGTTCAATCTCTTATTCGGATTCTCTTATTAAACTTGCCAAATATCTAGTGGTAACTATGACTAGACGATATTTGACTATATTTGAACTATGGGTCTTTAGGCATGAACTATGAATAATCTGTCTGCCTGTCATATTTGGCATTGTGTTTATTATATAAACATGCCATACTCTAGACATTTGCTAATGAGGGCTCGGGAAGGAATAGGTTCTGACATGTTCTGACATGTGTAGCAATGTCACAGCATGTTTCCCTGCAACAACACCGATACTAATGACGTCTCTTGTGTAACTTGGTGTATGGTATGGCGGTCCTTGAAATGACATTTATTATTACCATGGAAATCGCATTCCACCCCAACATCATCAGGTCGGGACATGTCGTACTCAACAAAGGTAAGGGTCCAGCGATATGTGCTACAGTCAGAGCCGTCTCAATTCACACTGGCCTCGATTCCAGGTCAGTGAAGCGGCCTCATGCCTGAAATAATATTCATTAGGGTTTACGCATTGTGTTCCAACCATCGTTCTACCATTGTTCCCATTTCAGTATTGATTTTTTTTTGGGGGGGGGGATCGGGGATTCGGTTGTGCATCGTTAACTTTGAACGGCGTTGATCAATGTTCCTCTTTTAGGTAAGGTAGTTCCACCTACACACATATCCTCCTCCTGATTACTGCCTCAGTTATGTCATCACTTGTTAGCCTGACTGACATCGGGACAATAAGTACACCTTGACGTTTGTAATATGGAGAGTAGCAGGCGAAAAGACCATTTGGATCATTTGCCGTTTACAAATTCATGTTTCATTCTGAACAGGAAGTGAATCAGAAACAACCAAGTGCTAGCCATGTATTTGCTTTGTACATTTATCAAAGGCATGTCGATTTTACAGTACAGTCTGAAAGTGATAAATTCCAACAAACCACGCTAAAACACACACTAAATATTTTACCCACGGACACAAGCATTTGAATACAACATCAAAAACGCAAGATAAATGATAAAATGGTGGTATATTGATCTACTCGATAACCTATACTGCTTCATCCAGGCGCAAATTGTACTAAGGTTTGTAACAGTAAAAGTACAGAAGCTAACTACATTGGTAATGACATTAAGTGGACCAGCGCGCTGACTTTACATAGCTGTGCTGACCTTACGTTAGTACATGATGAAAGTGAAGTGATGAAAAGTAAAGTTTACATTTTCAGAAATTATAATATATAAGTATAACCTATAACATCACTATTCGCAAGGGCAAAGATAACTGTTATCATATACAGTTTAAATTGATTGATAACTGAAAACAAATATTAATTATGATGGCATTGCAGAAAAGGCTTTCCACTGACTGTGCCATCTGCTAACTGTGAACGTAAAGAACTACTCGTCATGACAGACTGGGACGGCTTGAGACCGTTACCGTGCGGTTTAGGGGGACACAGAAACTTTCTATTTGTAAATGATAAGATTCACACATTTTATCACAAGCGCTGAAAAGAACAAAACGGTGAGATACAATGTTAATGTTGATTTTTAACCTGTTAAAATCTGATGACCAACACACAATCCATCAATGGGAACACGCTTACAGTTGGGCACTAGGCAGTATCTCTTTTCATAAAACTGTTGACATGAAAAGCTGGAGCTCATAAACATACATTAG